AACTGTTTTCCAAAGTGGTAGTGCCAATCTGCATACTTGCCAACAGTTGGAATTGTCACTTCCTACCTTTTCATTTTGAAAGTTCCTATGGATGTGTCATTGTGGCCTTAATTTGCATTTCTCTGATTATTAATGAAGTGTGTGTAACAACCTTAATATGTGCAATTGGCTATTTGTGTATCCTTTTGTGTAATGCCGATTTATGTCTCTTGCCTATTTTTACTCTTTTTATCTTTATTGCTTAGTGGGATTCTTTATATTCTGGGTTCAAGTTCTTTAATGGTTATGTGTGTTATAGGTATCTTCTTTTTCAGTCCCTGAATTTTGTATTTTGATGAAAAGGGGTTCTTAATGTATCCCAATTTGACACTCTTTTTATTTATATCTCATGCTTTTCTTGTCTGATGTAAGGAGGGTTTGCCTACCCTGAGTTTACTAAGACATTTGGCTACATTATTACTAGAAACTTTATTATTTGCTTTTCACACATGGAATTGATTTGTGTGTATGTTGCTTGCGCATATAGAAATCCAAATGGTCCAGCATCATTTTTTGAAAAGAATATTCTTTGCTCATTGCTCTGTAGTACCACCTTAGCGGTAAGTCAAGTGTCAACATCTGGTGGGTATATTTCAGGGCTTTCTAGTCCATTCCATTGGTCTATTTGTTTATTTTTATTGCCAATACCATGCTGTATTAGCACACCATTATAATACATCTTGATATCTGGTAGGACAAGTTCTCCCACCTTGCTCATCTTTAAGAATATCTATAGTTCAGATGTGTTTGGGAATTGACAATTTTGGGGATTTTACAATTTTGAGCCTCCCAATTCATGAACCTGGTACATCCTATTATTTTAATACTGTTTTTATTGTTTTCTGCAGAGATGTTTTATACATTTTTCTGTTAATTATTCCTAGATATTTAATATTTTGTTATTGTAAATGATATATTTTTAAAATTTTATTTTCCAATGGTATATACCTAATTCAGAAATGTAATTGATTTTTATTTATTAAATCTTATATTAAACAATCTTGCTAAGCTTATTTAGTAATTTTAATAAATTATATGTATATCATTTTGGGTATTTCACAATCATGAACAAATAATGGCTTTGTTTCATATTAATATGATACTAGCTATCTTTTGATTAAAGTTTGCATGGTATACCTAATTCTGCCTTTAATTTTCATCTTTTTATAGCTTTTTGTTTTAGATATAACCCATGTAAAAAACATGTAGTTTTTAAAAAAAAAATTTAAACTGACAGTCTATTTTTTATTTTTTANTTATGGAACATTTGAAATATATATACAGGTAGAGAGGATACTTTAATTAATTCTCATGTACTCATTACCCAGCTTCAATAGTTATCATTTCATGGCCAAACTTGTTCCATTCCCACCCCCACTGTCCATTTCCACTGCCTCCACTCTCACCCTCTCCACCAGATTCTTGTGAAAACAAATCCCTGGCATCTTTATTATTTTATTCATCAGTTTCAGTTTATGTCTCTAAACAATAAAGTCTCTTTAAAAACATAATTACACTACCATTGTCATGTCTAAAAAAAGAAAATTGAATTTCGGTGTTCTGATGTCAGACTCCAAGCTCTCTAACCAGGCCATGCTGCTTACATCAGTCGAGCCGATGCCGGCCCCAAAGGAAATGAGGAAGGATGCCAAAGGGGTCCAGTTCTAGGTTGATGATTTTGGTGTTTTTTACTCTTTCTTCTGTTTTATCCAGAAATGTGGTATCTGGTAGTTTAGTAAATAAACTACTTCACCTTCTTGCTTTTCTTTTCCAAGTCTTTCTGTGGTCTGGCAGCAGTATCTGAGCTTATTTCCGTAAGGGGTTTTTCACTTACACTGCTGTGCTTGTTGCTGAGGAAGATGTAGAACTATGAGATGACATGTTTCTTGTCCCTTAGGGGCTAGAAGTATAGTTAGTAGACTGAATAGTAGATGTAGTATATAGATGGTAGGGGCTAAAGTTATTCATTTGTTCAGTTTTTTTATTCGCTCAACATGTTCTGAATACTACCTGTGCTAGGCCTTGTGCTTCATGTTGGTGATACAGAGATGAATAGATGATCCGTGATCTGTGTCTAGTTGGGTAGATAAGACAAGAAATTAATAATAATAATATAATGTCATAGGTACTCTGAAATCTGGGACAGGTTATGATGTGATCTCAAAGAAGTGGGTATTTAATTCAACTTGGGAGCAGGGATCTAGAAAGGCATTATTATTATTATTNTACACTGACCATCTTTCTAATAAAGGCAGAATGGTTTTGGGGAAGATAGTCATTTGGAGTGAGGGAAAGATTTTTTTCCTCAGTGTAAGCTGCAGACAGTTCCCATCAGTTCTGTTTTTCTTAGGAGGGAAGCTGAGCCTGGTGGGTGCTGCAGCACAACCTGAATATATTGGTAGAATTGATATTTCTAATAAAGAATGGAACAGATTCTTTGTGTGTGTCCTCTCAGCCCTAAAGCTATATCAGTCCTAAGAGATAGGCAGAACAAAATGTTAGTGGACCTACTTTACAAAGAAAGAAAATGGGACCTGGAGCTATTAAATGACTTGCCCAAAGTCATAGGAGTTAGTGAAAAGCAAAATTGGGACTCATAGCCTTGTCGCCAGTCCAGTGCTCTTTTTCTAGTTCATAGCACTGCATTTTCCTAAGACTAGGTCTATTACCTAAATACATTATTTGGTATAAAGGAAAACTTTTCAAATGAGGTAAGGTTAAATTGGCAGACTCTGTGTTTTCAGTTAGGTTTTCATGTCTTATCTTCTTTATCCCCTTGCAGCAACAACAGGAGGAAATCACTACTAAGAAACTCCGACTGACAAAACCAAGTAAATCTGCAGCTCTCCATATAGATCTGTGTAAAGCTACCTCCCCAGCAGATGCTTTGCAGTACCTACTGCAGTTTGCCAGGAAGCCTGTTGAGGCAGAAAGTGTGGAGGGAGTAGTCAGGATTCTCTTGGAACATTATTATAAGGTAAGACGGTCTTGAGGACCTGATGGGAGTGTATATAAGTTGTTCCTGCAGAATGGGTTAATATTGCAAAATAAATCAGATGTTCATTCAGCAGTCTTTTACTGAATGTCTTCTATGTGCTAGGGACTGGCAAAAAAAAATTGGATACATTTGGATAAAAAAAGATCCAAATCCTGTCCTTAAAAGCTTACAGTATCTAGATGGAGACAGATATGATCCATAAGTTGATATGAATGATTGTGTTGCTGAAGAAACTATGAAGGCAGTATGTACAGTGGGAGGAAACAGGAGGCGTTAACCTCAACCATGACCTTTCTTTAATCAAATTTGGCTCTGGAATGTAGTCCTGTCATCCTGCTTACTGCCCTAATTCAAGGCCCTAGTATCTAACTGCACTACCCTCCCTCTGCACCTTTTTTTTCCAGCTAAGTGGCATTTTATTTCTCCATGTATTTCAATGGGTTAGGAGAAACATCATGCATGATTCAGTACAGACAAAAGTTTAAACAGAAGAGGAAATTCACAAAATGTGTTTATTTTTCAGTTTTTTAATATAAGTGAGATCTGAAGTAAAAGAATAAATGATTTTCAAATATTTTAATCACAGATGAATTAAAAATTTAAATTTTACTATGAAGATTATTAAGCTTCTAAAANAACCAACTGAGCACTTGGCCAGCCCCCTTTGGTTTTTTGAGTGTATTAGATTTCCTCCTACAGCCTCATATCTAATAATAACTTTGTGTCATTAATGCTTAGCTGCACATTTAATATCTCCGAAATCAGGACACATTTTACAATTGCTGTTGGCCAGGTTTTCATGTTGTAGATAGGGTCATAGCAGTCCATGTTAGCATTACTTCAGTTGAGCTCTGTATGTTGCCACTTAATGTTATCTTCAAAGAAATTACCTTGTAACTTGCATTAAAATGGAAAGTTTTTACGTGCACAGGAAGCATGGAAACACAGCAGTATGACATAGGACATAAATTTCCATCTAAATAAGTTTAAAAGAGCTCTTTCAATAAGTATATACCGGGGGTGCCAAAAAAATGTACACATTTTAAGAGATGTTATCTATGTATTTTTGAAGTTGAGTTAAATTATGGTAGCAATGTGTAGTATGACGTTTGCTCAAAAGTTGCATTAATCAAATGAATGCTAGCGTCATTCATTATATTACAATTTTAATACTTTTTTTCCTCTCTTAAAATGTGTATACATTTCTTTGGCACCCTCTGTATAACAAGTCTAAACAATAAGAAACCATTGTTTTTAATTTCAGCATTTTTTTTCTTAATGTGCTATATAAAATAATGGTTTGTTTTACAACTGCCGGCAGCTTAGATTTGATAGAACATGATAATAATAATAATAATAGCTGCTAACATTTATTGAAGTCGCTGTTTGCTAAGTGCTTTTCATTTCACTCAGTATATTTGTATATGCAGTACTCTATGATATGAGAAAATTTACTATAGGCATACCTCTTTCACAGTAAAGTGCTTCACTTTATTGTGCTTTGCAAATACTGCATTTTTTTACAAATTGAAGATCCTTCATCAGCAAAAAAATTGACTCGCCTAAAGGCTCCGATGATGGTTAACATTTTTTCATCAATAAAGTTTTTTTTTCTTTTTAAGATTTTATTGGGGAATTAGAGGAAGGAACAGCGTTGGGGAATTGGGGAGGGGAACAG